CCCCTCCCCCCCCCCCCCCCCCCCCCCCCCCCCCCCCCGCCCCCCCCCCCCCCCCGCCCCCGCCCCCCCCCCCCCCCCCCCCCCCCCCCCCCCCCCCCCCCCCCCCCCCCCCCTCCACTGCCTCGCACCACCCGCCAGCCCTCCCTTCCCCCCGACCATAATGTCCACCTCCGCCTCCAGTGATACCCTTCAACAGGGCCAGCCGATCGACCAGAACGCTGCCACGGCCCCGGTGTCGCCTTCCTTCTCGGCCGACGTATCGCCCTCCCCCTCGGCCGACGTGTCGCCCTCCCTGACCCCGGAGATGTGCGGCTCCTCGGTGTCCACTTCGCCGGTGACCTCCTTCGCCTCGGAGGCCATGGTTTTCGTCAATCCGGACACCTCGCGCGAGCCAGCCGTCCCCCTCCCCCCGGCTCTGTCCAACATCGGCACCCCCTTCGATGCATCGGCTGGCCGGCCCAAGGACATCGGCATCCTGGCCATGGAGGTGTACTTCCCCCAGAGCTTCGTCGAGCAGTCCGACCTCGGTGCGCGCGCTCCCTGCTTCTTCATCCCCACGCATACACACGCACACACACACACACACACAGTGTCTTCTTCTGGCTTCCATGGCCCCCTCCCTCGTCACTTACCCCTGTCTCCCGCCCGACTCCCTCCCCCCCCCTCTCCCCCCTCACACACACACACACACGCATGCACAGAGGAGTTCGATAATGTCAGCTCCGGCAAGTACACCATCGGCCTTGGGCAGTCGCGCATGGCCGTGGTCGACGACAATGAGGATATCAACTCCATCTGCCTGACGGCGGTCAGCCGGCTGATGATGCGCACTCGACTCCCCTACAGCGCCATCGGCCGCCTGGAGGTCGGTACCGAGACCATCATCGACAAGAGCAAGGCCACCAAGACCGTCCTGATGCAGCTCTTTGCCAACAGCGGCAACACCGACGTCGAGGGCATCGACACCACCAATGCCTGCTACGGCGGCACGGCGGCCCTCTTCAACACCGTTGCCTGGATGGAGGGGTCCTCCTGGTGCGGGCGTTATGGCATCGTGGTCGCCGCCGACATCGCCGTCTACGGGACCAAGGCCGCCCGGCCGACCGGCGGCTGTGCTGCCATCGCCATGCTTGTCGGGCCCAATGCCCCCGTCTACCTGGAGCCCGGTGCGTTTGCCGCTTGTCCTCCTCCTCTCCCTCCTTCTCCTCCTCTCCCTCCATTCACACGATCCGCCTGGCCACTCACACCCCCGTCCTTTCCCCTTCCGGTATCCCCCCCATTTCCCCCCTTCCTGCTGCTTGCCGCTTGCTGCTCGCCGGCCGTGTGCCCTCTCCCTCCCCTCCTCTCAGGCCTCCGCTCTTCGCACTTCGAGCACGTCTACGATTTCTACAAGCCGGACTTCTCCTCCGAGTACCCGGCCGTTGATGGGCGCCTGTCGGCCACCTGCTTCACCCGCGCCCTGGACACCTGCTACCGGCGCCTGCAGGAGCGCGGGGCCGCCCTCCGGCCGAATGAGACCCCCGTCGACACCGGGTCCCTGGACTATCTGGTCTTCCACTCGCCCTACCTGAAGCTGGTGCGCAAGTCCGTCAGCCGGCTGGCCTATCTGGACTATGTGGCCGCGGCGGCCAAGAGCCCGGAGCTGGCGGCCACCCGCTTCCCGCAGGTGTCGGCCGAGCTGCAGCAGCTCGTGGCCGAGAGCACCCCCGAGACCAATCGCGATTGCGCGGCCCTGGAGGCCGGCTTCCGCAAGGTCAGCTCTGGCCTCTGGTCCGACAAGGTGTCCCCGGCCACCCTGATTGCCAAGAACGTCGGCAACAGCTACACCGCCTCGGCGTATGCTTCCCTGGCCAGTGTCCTGGCCAGCGAGCCGCTTGACAAGCTGGCCGGCGCCCGGCTCATGGTCTTCTCCTATGGCAGTGGTCTGGCCTCGTCGATGTTCTGCCTGCGTGTGCGCGGCCCCGCCATCCCCGTCGGCCTGGAGGATCTGGCCGCGCGTCTCAATGCCCGGACCGCCGTCTCTCCCCAGCACTTCACTGATGCCCTGTCTCGGCGGGAGGCCGCCCATGGGGCTGCCTCCTTCTCTCCGGTTGCCTCGCACCAGGATACCATCGCCCCGAGCACCTTCTTCCTGTCTCACATCAACGACCGCCACCACCGGGCGTACGCTTACAAGCGGGCTGACGGCACCGTCGTTCCGTCGGTTGCGTCCTCCTAATCGCGTGGAGGCCATCGATCTCGCGCGTGCGTGTCGGTGTTAACGTGTGTGTGTGTGTGTGTCTCTCTGTCGGCATGTGACTCTTCTCCCCCTTCGTCTCTTTCTCTTCCTCCTTCCCCTCCTCTCGGTGGTAGTGGCGTGTGGGTCTGGATCTGGGTCCATGCGCGGGCGCCTTTCCCGCCCGTGTCTCTCCCTCTCTCTTCCCCCTCTCCCTCTTCACTGCAGACATCCGCGGCGCGAGCATCCAGCTTGCCGCTCCCCTCTCTCTCTCTCTCTCCCTCTCGCGACGCGCGTGTGCGCAAGTCCATTTGTGTGGTGTATGCTACATCGCATACGCACACCCACCCATCCACACACACACAAGCACACACGTACGCGCGCGCGCGCGCGCGCGCGTGCGCGCGCATGTGTATCATACCCGTCAACGTCCCCCATCCTCGTCCTTGTTTATCCCTCTCTCCTCCCCCCTCCACATCCGCTCCCTTCTCCTCCCCCGTAGTAACCCCAGAGAGAGTACGAGAAACTGGAGCCCCCTCCTCCTCTCAGAGTGTGTGTGTGTGTACTAGTGCCCTATGTGCATATGTTCTCTGGCTGTTTGCGCGCGCGTGCGTGCGTACGTATATGCCCCC